CACACACACACACACACACACACACATGCATACATGCACACACACATATGCACACATGCACACACACACACACACACACACACACTTAATTTGCATAAATGCAAACACACACACACACACACACACACACACACAAACACATACATACATACATAGAAAACTCCAAACCAAAAGGCTTTGTCATTTTGGATATCAGTCTCTGTATTGTGTCATGCATGAACACATGTGTTCCATAAACGAGCGTCAATGAGTATGGAGACTGAAGAAAGATAATCAGATAATACGTTAACAATAAAATCCAACAACACAAACAACAATATTTCAGGCTTTTAAATTCGATAATCATCATCATATTAAAATATATTTATATCATATTATTATTATAGAGAAGGCAATATAAAATCTAGGTAATATAATATTATATACAGATGGAACTTCAATAAAAAACAATCCTGTAGCAAGACAATTTGTATAAAAAATTTAGGCACAATGATTGGTGATCTTATGAGTAATTTGTTTTCCTATTCTACTGTTATTGTTCAGGCAGGTAATGAAACGAGCACATTAACCCTCTTTTACTTTTTATAGCACCAAAATCAGTCAACTCTCCCTTTACCATTATAACACTGAATGAATAAATTATGTTTCACGACGCGGTGGAATCAGGCGCTCGTCAATTTTTTGGGCATACAGAGTTATTGGTATCAGCTTAAAGCTTTTTCATTCGTCTAGCTTTTGATGAAAGAAATATCCATCTGTCTTGAAAAGAAGTCAAGATATTTGTGATTGAAGAAGGTGAGGATCGACAGATTTCAGTGGTTAAATTAGCAGGAAAATGGCCGCCAGAGTTCGGTAACTACCATAAATTGACAGTCCTTGGAAACAAAAAAATGTGCCATATTTCTGCCTGTAATCAATGTTTTTCTGCGGTATCCACACCGAAATATGTTTCTAATTAGATGCATAATGTTTTGAGCCAAAAAACAAAATTCGATAAAAATTTCCAAACTGGCTGAAAATTGCCATTTTCTCCGATAATATCATTTTGACAAGCGCCTGATTTGATCAGGATGCCGTACAAATGTCTGTATATTTGAACTGGTGATCATTTCAAACCAAGCTTTGAACTCCAAGCCTTTCTGTCTCATACATTAAAAAAAAATATTTTGTTAATTTTACAACATACCCTAATCAGTTTTCATAGCTGCAGAGCCACTATAGCACTTCATAAGCAAAGATGATCACAACAATGATTTGGAATGTAATGGAGTCTGTTGTGGTATTAATAAATTGTAAAGCGCTGGGAGCATACTATCTGGCCGAACTATGTGCTATATATAAATGCACACTATTATTGCTATAATTATCGTAATAAGTATTTTTGGTTGGAGGAATGTTTCATATATCCTCTATGGATTAGGCAAACTATGTACAAGTGTGTATTCAGAATTGTGTAGCAGTTGGGTCTTGAGGCAAAATTGAAAGCCATAGACACAAAATAATGACAATAATATTATTCCTCTCCTTATTTTAATAGGATTTAGTAGCAAAATAATTATTCTTTTCACAGCTTTAAACAGTTCCTATTTAGACGTTGTGCGCATTGAAATAAGAATGGATAATACAAGATCGAAATAAGCTTGCAGATGCGATTAAAACATTTGACAAGGTAAAGTTGGCACTTGAGATATATAACTTGGTATATATTATATAGTAAATGCTGGCATTGGACAAGTATGATCTGTTTTAGGAAATGAAGCTTCAATAATCTTTCATGTCTTAAACTAAGCAAAGAACTTGGAGTACTGTCCAATCATCGTCACGCTTTCATTTCCCGACCTCACATTCTCTTTTATTGCTCGCAGGTACTTGGGTGGTGTAAAAGAGCTCAGAAATCATACACAAGGCACAAACTGATTTGTCAAACAAATTTTCAAGTAAAAGTACATGTCTTGCAATGTTATTGTTATACACTCTCAAACTACAATCATAACACAAACTCCTCAGTAATTTTTATCATCTTTCTCGTTATTGGTACTGTAAAAATGCGAGTTACTTGTTTCATACCCTCAATGAAGCAGGGTTTGTTTCGTGTACTAAAAACCCTACAGTTGAAACATTTTCACATTTGTTCAAGTCTTAAGCTGACTTAGGAAAGCACCATTCTCTTTAAGTTTTCCAACAACAAAACAAAATGACAAAGGTAATTGCGTTATAACTGCCAGAATTCAAAACGCTAAGCGATGATGTCGTCCTATTGTCGTAACGGATTCATCCGCGTTACCAGTCCCGGGGCCTGCCCGAGCGTCGTAATCCCACATCACCGTGATAAGACTGACTTCCATCCCTCGAGGAGAATCCATTTTCCCTGTTGGCGGGCTCGCTGTCGTAAAAGTCTTGCATCTCCATGTTGTACATGGTCGGGTCCACCAGCATGACGGCGTTGTTATTGTAGCCCTGCATTCTGTAGTCCACAAACTCTGTCTCCGACACCAGACTCTTGTCCTTGGAAGACTTCCCGTTTCCTTTAGCAGCTTTTCTCCTCCTGAAAAGTAAGATTAGATAAGATACATCCTTTTTGTCAAGATCCTGGCACATTGGTTTGGTGTTTCACCCCGTTCACACATGTACACACATACACATGCACACACACATAGATCTACATATACACACACACACACACACTCACATACACACATGCGCACACACACACACACACACGCACACACAAACACACACACACATACACACACACACACACACACACAAACATGCACACATACACGCAGGCTTACGGTCACATGCATAATATAGTTGAATTGTAGTATAAACAATAATAATGTTAAGCTAGATACATACTCAATGTTATTCTGATGCATGCACTAAGGTCATATGAATACTTGTAACAAGATGGTTAAGATGGAAGAATTTTTTATGGATTATGTTAAAAATAACCTGTATCTTTCTTTGATACAGATCAGAAGTCTAGGTCTTCTGCTTCTGATAGATATCTTTATTTGAGGGAGCAAGGGATGTTTATTGTCCAAAAAGATGAAATTAATCTTTTAGGTGCAAGCTGTAACGTACAATTCATCCAAGTAGGGGAATGTAGATGTTGAAATTTTGCTTACTTTCCGTATTATTATTAATCGATTTCCTTTTTCTTTATCTTGTTGTCTTGCATTGATGATGATGATGATGATGATGATGATGATGATGATGATGATGATGATGATGATGATGAATATACTTACATGCATGACACGCAGCCGACGATAATGCCAACCAAAAGCAGGAAGCCACCCACTCCCCCACATATGGCTGCCACAAGCGTAGTGTTATCCTCATCAGGCGATTCTCCTGCAGAACATCAATAGAAAAATGTCTTGGAAACTTTAAAAAAAACACAAAAATCTGATTTTTAAAATATTTTTTTGTGGGTAAGTGTTTTATGGTGCTCGCAACTGCATAAGGTCATTTTATGAACTGATTCAAAGAGAAGATAAATAATTGAGACAAAGATAAGATAAGATAAGATACATCTCTATTGTCCAGATCCTGGCACATTTGTTTGGTATTACGTACACACATACATATACACACACGAAGACAAACTCACACACACTCACACAAACATACACACACACACACAAACATGAACACACATGCAGGCTTCCAGTCACATGCATAATGAGAGATAGTAGTAGTCCAGTAGTCCACCCAATCATTTCTTCATAATAAAAAAAGTACTTAACGTGAGTCTAACAAACAATTGAGGCCTGTAGTATTCCACTCAATACTGGCTGACTTTGACGGGCAGGAAAGACGCAGCCTGCCTTCTAGATGATCAAAATTGTGTTGTTTCGAGATGTAAAACATTTACTATGATTTGTGAGGCAGCGTGATGAAATCAGGAGCTTGTCAAAATAACGAAATCGAAGAAACCCGCATTTTTCTATCCATTGGGCAATTTAATAAAAAACTATTCTATTTTTGGCTCAACACCTTTTATGTCCATTTAAGAACACATTTCTGTGTAGATTTTACTGAAAATAATTGTTTAAAGTTACAAAAAATGTAATTTTTTCAATTTTCATGGATTCACATTCTAATGAAATAACCCAACTTTGGCAGCCATTTTCTCACTAATTTTACCTCTGAAACGAGGAAACCCCCACCTCCTTCAATCGCAAATATCTCGAACTGTACTCAAGATAAATAAGTATTTTTTTCATTGAAAGCCAAGGCAAATCAACACACTTTAAGATGATACGAATAACTCCGCATGCCCAAAACTTGACGAGTGCCTAATTCAACCGTGCCGTGACACATTTACTATTTAATCAAAACGCATGTATGTAGTAGTAAGAAACACCAAGTGATTTCATGAATAGCAGCAACACTGCAAGTCAAAATTACAAAAAATAACGATCACAAAACAAGAAAGAAAACCGTAAACAGAAAAAAAGAACATAGGAAATAGAAGCAAAGGGACAGTATTCCTTATTCCAAGACATCTACATGAGGTCTTTGTTGATAGCACTATACTTTTTGGCAGCTGGGTGAATTGGGGAACTTAGAGCAACAAACTTTTCTTTGGAATAGAACATATATATATGCTTCCCAGGAAGCTGAAAATGTTTAGGAAATTCATAAAGTCTGTCAGAAAATAATCAACTGAAAAGAGCACAGATAGAGTCTGCTAGGAAGCAAAAATATGTGATATCAAAGGGCAGTCTCTTTCTAATGTTCTTTTTCTTCTGCTCCTTAGCAATAGGCCTATCATAATCATTCTTCTTCTTTTCATTCTCATTGTTACTATATCGATATATTATTATCATTCTTTTTCTTATAGGCTCAGTATCATCATTACTTTTCTTCTCACATTCAGTACTATCATTCTTTTTCTTCTTAAACTCATTACTACAACGTTATCATTGTTTTTCTTTTTATGCTCAGTACTTTTATCATTTTCTTTTTCTTACGTTTAATTCTATATTATTATTCATTTTCTTCCTATGCTCAATACCATTATCATTCTTTTTCATCTTACACTCAATACTACTATCATTCTTCATTTTGCAAGCAGTACGATTATCATTTTTTTTCTTCTCAAGTCAGTACCATGATCATTGGGCTAAATACCTCTTATTTTTGTTATCATTAGTAAATATACATACGTATTCATTACTCTTTTAACAATATCCTACCTAATTGGCAGGTAACAAATTTTGATCTTCCTGCTGCTGCTGCTCATGTTCTGTTTATTCTTAACTCGACTAAAACTGTAGATGCATAATATATGAATGTAGACGGTTGACAACTCACTCAGTTTATCCACAGAGCAGTCTGGCCCGGTATGTTTGCTGTCGCAGACACACACAGATTTGTCAGCACTGTTTGTCTGGCACTGTCCGTACTGTCCACAATAGCTTGTTTCGAAGGCACATGGCCCTGTGGACGAAATGTTTGCACAATGTCAGTATCAACAATGTTTTCTTTTTAATTGATATCGCTTATTTACTTATTTTACTCTCACTGCAAAAGCAGAAAGCAAAAAACGAAAAGGGAGTTAAATACACAGAAGGCAAAAGAGGTAGAGGCTGAACCAGAACAACTTACATATGGTCGCTTTTAAGCACTAGGAGGCTATCCCGAAAAATGCTGTTCTGAGAAAATCGAAGGTAAAGTTTTTGCCCCTTGTTCAGTTTCTTTAAAAGACAAGGAGAGTTTTCTCTATAACCAAACAAATATATACTCCCCAAACTTCTCCTATAGGTATGGCAGAGCCCACTTTTGGTGTAGGTCAAGATTTCTGTAAACGCACGAAATCTGGGTTAGCCCGCTTGTCCTTAAAAGCGACCATATAGAAGGTGAACAGGTGGGTAAAGGGATAAGACCAGGATATTACAGTAGTTTTTTAACCCTTTGAGCCCTTGCCACCCGTACACCAGTGGCGCATTAAACTGTCTGTAAGCCTAGCCACCATAACAAAGAAAGTTTAGGATTGGAATCCACAGGGTAAGAGATCAAAGGGAAGACCGCGTGGAACCTGGAGAAGAATCACAGAAATTGATGTACAGAAAAGTGGGAAGACATGGAATAACATCAAGAGGCTAGTCCAGGATAGAGAAAGGTGGAAAGTGTTTGTCCATGGCCTATACCCTGGTACAGGGTGAGAAAGGCAATGATGATGGTGATGCCTTGCCACCGGTACACCACTGAGCGAGACCCCATCCCCATCCCCATCCTGGCCTGCCAGACACAAAACGAGTATGGGAAAACAGTGTTTAGTTTTAAGTTTTAGTAGAGGTTTTAGGCGCTCGCAACTGCATAAGGTCATATGAGCGCCAGAAGATTAGAGGTGTTACAAGAGAGTGACAAACATAAAAAAGAAGAAGGGGAGATAAGGACAATAGATGTTTGATAGAAAAGAAGAAGCAAACCAAACCAGAGCACCCGTCAACTACCCACAAAACAGTGTTTACTACAAAAGACGTTATTAATTATTTTGAAGATGTTTCTGAATTAGATGCTGGTAATGACAAGAACTACCCTGAGTGGGATATGGAATGTGGTTCTGACAATCATATGAAAGTTAGCAATATATCACTCAGGAGCTCTGGCAGAGGGGCACGGTAGCCTCAGAAGGTCAGGGCTCAAAGGTTAAGATAATCTGAGCAAAGAAACGTCAAACCATCATCGACAATGTCTTTTTTCAGATACTCAATGACTGTGTATCCATTTATGTATTTTGCGAATTGCATTGTGTATATTATTTTATTATGTATTTGTATGAGCTCATTTCGTAACGATGTGGAAACGTGCGAGTGTGATAAGCAAGTACATGTGTGTGTGTGTGTGTGTGTGTGTCTGCCAGCGCATGTGTTTGGCATGCATGTGTGTGCACATGTGTGCGTGAGTGTATGTGTGTGTGTTTATGTGAGTGTCTATGTTTGTGTGTGTGTATGTATGAGTGTGTGTGTGCGCGCTGTGAGTGTGCGTGTGTGCGCGTGCGCGCGTGCGCGCGTGCGTGAATATTGTTCGAACATGCATTTACATAAAGCGCCTACAGCTGTGTTTATGCGGGAGTTGGCGCTATAGAAATGATTTTCATTATTATTATTATTACAATTGTCTCTGGGGCAGGCCCATGTACTGACCACTGCAATTGGAGGCAGTGTAGGCTCCTGGCCCTCTAGTAGTCTCAAATTCTGGACAACTTGTGCAGTCAGTACTGCCTGCCGAGACTGAGTAGCTTCCCTTGGTACACAGCTGGCACCGTGAGCCTGCTGTTGAAAAACTGCCCGCTGCACATCGTTCTGGAAAGACCAAAAAAAAAAAACCCAACAAAAAAAACCGCTGTAAAATGAACTCACTAATTGGTGTAGCGCAAACATGCATAAACAAATGTACACAAACACACATACACACACATAATAACACACACACATACACAACCGAACACACACACGTACACGACCAAACATCAACACATACTAACACACACAAACACACACACACATGCATACACAACCGAACACACACACATACACGACCAAACACCCACATACTAACACACACACACACACACACATGCATACTCATATACAACCACACACATACACACAAACACACACATTCACACATGTGTGCATGCATACGCACACGCACACATACACACACATGCACATGCAAGTTGCGAGCGAAATAAAAATATTTATTACTTGCACATGCAATACACACTCAAATACCTACACACACAGATACAATACAGTTTCTATCTCTCTCCATCTCTCTTTCTCTCCCTCTCTCCCTCCCCCCTCTCTCTCTCTCTCTCTTTCTCTCTCTCCCCCCCTCTCTCTCTCTCTCTCTCTCTCTTTTTCTCTCTCTCTCTCCCTCCCCCTCTCTCTCTCTCTCTCTCTCTTTCTCTCTCCCCCTCCCTCTCTCTCTCTCTCTCTCTCTCTCTCTCTCTCTCTCTCTCTCTCTCTCTCTCTCTCTCTCTCTCTTTCTTTCATTTTATTTATTATTATATATGTGTTGCATCATGGTGAAATCAGGTGCTCATCAAAATAATGAAATTTGAGAAACCAGCATTTTTCAGAAAGTTTGGAAATTTTTCTTTGTGCATCCATTCAAATAGTGTAGTTCATCAACAGTTGTGTCAGTGGCCTAGTGGTTAGACTACTGGACTCATTGTCATTGTGAGGTTTCAGGTTTGGGCGGTTCGAGCTGCGGGCCCAACGTTGTGTCCTTGGGAAAGGTACTTTATATTAATTTTCCTCACTTCACCCAGGTGGGAATGGGTACCTGGCCATAGACAGTGAAAGATCTTGTCGGTATGTTAGTGTTTTAGCGCCTAAAAATGGCTGCTTGCACTGTATGCTTCCCAGGAAGTTGAGGTTGTTTTACAGAGCTCTCAGGTCTGCTGGGGTAATAGTATAGCTTGTGAAGTGCATAGAGCTTGCTGTTGAGCGGGGATTTGCGCTATACAAATGCTATCATATATTACCTATTATTATTAAATTATTACTAGCAAATTTGACTAACCGCAAACGTTTGGATCAATAGAACTTGTTTCAGATCCTGCATAGCATGAAGTCAGAGCCTGAGCGGAAGCAACTTCAATGCCATTGGTAATCTGAAAAAAAAAAAAAAGAACGAAAATGTACACAAATGAGAAAAAGAAACAAATGGCGAACATACAACTGATTTCCGGCAGTACTAAGACTGTTGAAAACTTCTTGTCAATTCACAATTTTTTCTGTTGACTAAGAGCAAAATCAGTGCTTAATAAAAAGACAAGGAATAAACAATAGCAAGTCAACAAACTGCCTACACACATTTTCAAACATCAAAGCTTTTCCTCTATTTAAAATCAAGGGGAACCATCGCAGAGGCAACAAAACTTCTTTTATCCTGTTGGGTATTTGCAGAAGAAATTGCCAATATCTGTGGTGTTCAGGTTAGGCGCTCTGCCTTGGCATGGAGAAAATGGTGAATTTGATTTCCTGATAGGGAGGTATTTTTTGTTCGATGTTTTTTAAATTTTTTTTTAGCATCTTCATCCGTTTTTTTCCGACATTTTATTCCTCTCTCGCTCGCTCCTGCCCACCCAGCAGTAATGGGTACCTGACTTTGAGTTGTGGAAGTAAAAGCGGCATGGAAATGAATTGGCCACCCTACCACAATATGCCAAAGGCCCAGGAAGTTGTCTCACTAACAAGGCAATCCCCAATGTCCAGATCAGATGCAGGAACAACTTTACTTAACTACTTGAGTTGGTCCTGACAGGCAGAGTGAAAGTCAGCCTGACTCCTAAATGATGTAAATCATGTCAATGGGGACATAAAACACCTATAGTTCTAATTCCTTTTTACAGCAGAAGGTGACTTTCCAAGTCATCAGTCCTACTGAGTCACTACATAGATTCTAGTTCATACTGGATTCTCAGGCCAGCAAAAATATGTTATCATGTATCAAAATCACTTACTCATTCTTCACACAGTCACTTTGAATATTATTGTGGATATTACTTTAAACACACACAGATGTTAGCAAAGGAAACATTTTGTGCGTTTCAATTTATAAATTTTTTTATTTTTGCTGGGTACATCAGTGAAAAAAATTATGGGGAAAAAAAAGCCTTTACATTCTGTACCCATTTTTTCCAACATGACTGGGTCATCAAGATAAGAAAACCTACAGAATATGGAAAGGGGTGGGGGGGAGGGGGGGGACAACCTGTCAAAGTATACAAACAAAGGCATGTGAGGCATCGTGGTGGAATCAGGCTCTCGTCAAAATAATCAAAGTGAAGAAACTTTCATTTTTCAGCGGGTTTGTGAATATTTACTTCATTTTTGTTTTTTGGCTCAACAACTTTTATGCCCATGAAAGTACTAATTTCTATTTGGATTTTTCAGAAAAATGTTGATTAAAGGCACAACAAATGTAAATTTTCAGTTACCACGTACTCTTAAGCTAAGGAAATAACTAATCTTTGACGGCCATTTTCTCACTAATTTTTCATGAAAACAAGTGACCCCCACCTTCTTCATTTGCAAATATCTCGACTTGTATTCAAGATAAATGGATATTTTTTTATCCAAATAAAGACAAGTGAACAAGCTTTACGATGATACCAATAACTCTAAATGCCCAGAAATTGACGAGAGCCTGATTCCACCAGGATGCCTCACATATGCTCATTTGATTTAACTCTTTCTCTCTGAGAGGGGTAAAGGGGTAAACCAGAGGCCCTTTTTTGGTACTAAATCTAAAAATGACACAAACGTCATAAAATAGGTAATTAAATCAAAACAAGTGAACCTTTTTTGATAGTTCTTCATCTAATGAATGAAGTCCCTGTAAAAGAGACCTGATTTTGGCAATTTCTGAAATGTAATTTGATGCCAAAGTCATCATAAAAGATTGTGCCCGAGACGCTGCCAGCATCTCACCGGTACAGTGGTTTCAGTGGGAGTTGCTAGCCGGAGATAAGGAGTTAAAGAAACAAAAATTCAAGTCAAAACTGCTTTAACAGCCACCTGTCAAAGACAGTCACCCACACAAATGATCACTTCCCATTTCCTCCATCACATTTTTCTGCATATATATAATAACGACATTGTCTAAGACATCCGCTTGTCCAAGACATCCACTTTTCTCTTTCACAACGGGTGGCCAACTTGGATAGTTTCGGTCTGTGGTGTAGCCATATTTAGGCGCTTCATTGTCACACACAGAAGACCTCAGTCTAATTCCCCAAGTGCAGACAAAATTTTTATAGAGTATCTCGGTTTTTCTTCTGGGATGTTGTATCCCTCTAGGTTGGCCCTGACATGCAGGGTCAGAAGCACATGTCTGAAATGATCTTAATTGTGCCGATAGTGGTGTAAAAACATTTACATGCAATTGTGTTGTGACGTGGTGGAGTCGGGCGCTTGTCAATTTTCAGGCATATAGGGTGGGGTTATTTGTATCATCTTTAAGCCTGTTCATTTGCCCTGCTTTTGGTGAAAAAAGTATCCATCTATTTTCAATAAAAGTCGAGATATTAGCAATTGAAGGAGGGCAGGGCGCGGTAGCCTGGTTTCAGAGCTGAAATTAGCGAGAAAATGGCCTCCAAAATTGTGTAATTTCCATAGCTTGAGAGTCTTTGGAAACTGAAATTTGACATTTTTTGTGCCTTTAATCAATACTTTTCCGTAAAATCTACAGAGAAATGTGTTTTTAAATGGACACAAAAAGTGTTGAACCAAAAAAAGAACGTTAGAGAAAAAATTGCAATTGCCCTACAGTCTGAAAAAAGCCAATGTCTTTGATTTCCCTTTTTTGACGAGCGCCTGATTTCACCACGATGCCTCACATATTATGTATGTGCAGCCAAAACCAATAGGTCGTACCAAATCCTCCTGGACTCCGGTCAGGTCGTAGACAGCCTCTTCCACAACAGCCTTGGCTGTACGGGCAGTATTTTGCACACTGTCTTGGAGCAACGAGCTACGAAACAGAAGGAAAAAATGTGAAAAAAAAATAACAACAAACATTTCGCTACCTCGGAATTACAAAGATCTATTATTACGATCATGAAGTCAGAAAGCAAATATTCTATCTGCTCTATCAAAATCGTAAGATTATTCGGAGTTGTTATAGAGATATTCAAAGAATTGCATTAAAAAAAGCTTGACATGAGGTGAAACTCAAAACTTTTGACATCAGATTTCTCAAAAACTAGGTACTGAGCAGATAGAACTTTGTAATTCTGAGACAGCGAATTGTCGTATAACTGTGTTTCTCATTCATTATACCAGCAAGAGAAGAAAAAAAGTTTTTTTAAAAGTAGCCTACCTAATTTAGAACACTACAACAATAATTAAATCACTCGTAAGTCTACTCGTGTAAGTACGCAAATTAGAACACAACCACAATAATTAAATCACTCGTAAGACTACTCATGACATTTCTACGTAAACTAGTACTGGGCGGCTAGGTTCCCGATTATTGAAAGCTAGGAGGCATCGTAGGAATCGACTCCGAACCCAATTACTTACTTGTTACTTATGTGATTTTTTCCAGTGGTTACCTGGTTGGCTCCGCACATCTTCAGGATTTTAGATAACCTTGATTTCGGAACACTACTACGATGCATTGACGTCTATTTTTGAAAAATAAATTCTTTAAAAAAATGAAGAAGATTTTAATGATAAAAGTAAAAGTAAATGGCAACCGTTGGTTTACGTAAAAAGGAGACGGCCTTCCGTAGTATTAATTGTGGGAATCGACTCTTCGCCCTGCTCTAGCGTAAACCATAAACTAACAACCAGCATTGCTTGGTTTTAAGGACAAGCCAGCTAACCCAGATTTCGGGGGGTTTCCAGAAATCTTTGCCTACACCAAAAGTGGGCATTGCCCTACCTATAGGAGAAGTTTGGTTTCATTGGTGTGTATATATATTTGTTTGGTTACAGAGAAAAATCTCCACGTCTTTTAAAGAAACTGAACAAGGGGTAAGAACTTTACCTTCTATTTTCTCAAAACAGCATTTTCTGGGATAGCTACCCCTTTTGCTTAAAAGCGACCAATTCTGCACTTACTCCACATTATTGACAGTCACTGTCACATCGACTTCATTGCCTGCCGAACGCCGTTTCCTCCGAGAACTGGGACAAATGTTCGAGGTGTCTACAATGACGTTGGAACACTGAGGGTCAGGGCACAGACCGTTCACACTCTGTCTTTTGGTAGCGATGAGCTGCAAAAAGATTTCCCGTATCTTCGTGACTACTGGCAATCTGTTGTTACATGAAGTTACGACCACAACAGCAACCACTGTCA